AAAAAACTAGGGGATCGTTTTCTTCGTATTTCAATTTTGTATTTTTAGTCTTAAATTCATTTTGAGTATCCATTTTGAGATTGTTGAAAACGTGTTCTTTTTTCCATTTTTAAAAATTGTTTTGAAAAATAAAAAATACAAAAATGCATTTACTTTCTCCCCTGAATTTTCTCATTCATCTCTCTCTCTCTTCCCTCCTCTCTATAACTTGTCGGAACCCCATCCTCCAGCCACCGTCTTCATCGTGGACTACCACCAGTCGACTGCCACTCAGAAACAACTCTCAATTTAGTCCAAATAACAATTAATCGAAATGAGGGTCGCAATCCTGTTTCGCGTAGTCCGAAGAAATCTGCGATTCCGACAACGTCCATTCAACCCATGGTCGCGAATCACATGGGTCACATTCCTCCCCCTCTGGCGCACCTAACCCAACCATGGGTCAAGCCCAATTTCAACCACATTTCGCTCATTTTATGGGTGAACTTAGGGTTGAAAATTAAAAATTTGTGGTGGTGGCGGCGGTGTGGTTGGTGATCTGGGGATTTTTGTGGTGGTTGCTGTGGTGGTGGTGGTTCTAGCGACGGTGGTGTTGGTTGATGTGATGTTGTGGCAGTGGTGGTAGTTCCGACGATGGTGATGGTGGTTGGGGTGATGTTGGGGTGGCGCGGCAATTGGTCGTGTTTTGCAGGCGGCAGTGGTGGTGGTTATGGGTGATAGTAACTGAAAAGAACGAAAACGCATTTTGAAAATTTTGGCCAAGTATAATAGAAAACACCAAAAATGACAAATTTATCGTTTTGAGCTTTCTTTGTAAATTTTAAACTTGTTTTCAAAAACGCGTTTTCGAAAATATGAAAGATAACGCGTTTTCACTGTTTTGAAAAATCGAAAAAAGAAAACGGCAAAAAGAACAAGCCCTAAGGTTTGCAAGATTTTGGAATGAAGAAGAAAACTCTTTGCGCAAGATCCAACTTTTCCTTCATCAATATTTCAAAAGCCGATTATGAATACTATCTTTTGTTGCTTTTCTTTTAAAATAGTATAAGTAGATAAATCATTACTTAAGAAAAATAATATAATGTACGTGTGACCTTTTTTTTTGATATGAAAAGAACTTTCATAAAACCAGGATAAACGATTACAGACGGATATCAAGCCAATTAGCTTGATAAACATAGTCTGGAATACTATCCAACCAAACATTAACATCTTCAACCAATTTTGCATACCTAGCAAGCTTATGAGCCACCATATTACATTCCCTGAAGGTATGGGAATATTTACAATTAACAAACTGTGTGGCTAGACGTTTCACTTCATGGTACAACACTCCTAAAGAAGAATTGAGCATGCTATCAGTTTGAAGTGCTTCAATGACCAGCTTACTATCACTTTCAACCATAAGGTTATGGATTCCCATGTTGGCACAAAACTGCATGCCTCTAAAAATGGCCAACAGTTCAATCACTTCACTCTCTTCAACACTATTTTCAATTTTGGACATCGCCATAATCACCTGTCCAGAATGATCTCTTAATACAGCCCCAATTCCCGCTTTATCCAGTTCTTTAAATGTTGTCCCATCCACATTTAATTTCAAAAAATTGAAATCTAGAGGTTTCCATTTAAAATGTTTTCGGATCTGAGAGTTATTTGTTTTCCTTGCTTTACTGTAACTTTCTAACATACCCAACGCAGTATCCGCATTCTTTCTTGGATCCAGCCAAATATGCTCGTTCACATATTTATTCCCTCTGAACCAAAAACTCCAAGTCAGCATGAAGAAGGTATCCAGCTTTGAAACTTCTTTTCTCACATATAAATCAAGTGCCTTTTCCTTAATTGACCTGCAATTAATTCTGACCAGTTCAGGGAAGAAAGTAGTCCAAACCCCTTTGAGCATGTTACAATGTATCACAGCATGATTCAAGTCCTCAGTTTCCGAATTACAAAGGCTACAAGTACTCTGCCTTATGATTTGTTTTTTCTCCAAATTCAGAGCAGTGGGGAGCCTATCTTTGCATGCTCTCCACGCAAAAACTTTTACTTTAGGCGGCACTTTCATCTTCCACAAATATTTCCACAGTAGTTTGTCAGTTGATCCCTCTGATGGGCCTGCTAGTTGTTGTCCAATATGATTGTAGATCATTCTGTAGCAATTACGCACACTAAAGCAGCCATTTCTTTCAAGAGACCAGAACATTCTGTCCTCGCCTTCATCTTGGCTGAGATATATTTTGCCAATATCTGAAACAATACTTGGGTTGAAGAGAGTTCGAAGTTTATCCACATCCCATGCTTTCTCATTTGGAACAAAAAGAGAGTCTACTGTGTCATTCCTTGAGTTTTCCCTAACCATATGTCCTTTTGACAGCAAAGCACGATGTCCTGGGATCCATTGGTCATGCCAAATATTAACTGATTTTCCATCACCTATACGTCATTTACTTCCAATCTGAGTCCATCTTCTTGCCTCCCAAATGCCTCTCCATGTGTAGGAGGGACAATGACCCAGGCCAGCTTTAAAGAAACTGCAATTTGGGAAATACTTTGCTTTGAACAATCGGTGAAGCAGTGAAGAATTCTCTTGGGACAACCTCCATCCCTGTTTGGCAAGCAATGCTAAGTTGAAACATCTAAGATCCTTGAATCCAATTCCTCCCACAGCTTTATGGTGACACATTTTCCTCCAACTAATCCAGTGGATTTTTCTCTCCCGTCCTTTTTGGCCCCACCAGAAATTGGCCATCAAACTTTCAAGTTCTTGACAGAAAGTAGAAGGTAACAGAAAACAGGACATAGTGTATGTTGGAATAGAAAGAGCCACAACCTTCAGCAACACCTCTTTGCCTCCTTGGGATAAAAGCCTTTCTTTCCAAGATTGAAGTTTTCATGTGTTGATTTTATTTATGGATTTTTAATGATTGGAATTAATTGACAACTAATTCAATGATACTTAAATTTATAATAAATCGAAAGGTAATTATAAATTTGGCCCACGTAATAAAATTCGATAATTTGGATAAAAGTGTAGAGATGCCTTTTATTATGATTATTGTGGTTGTCATATGGGTTTTTGGAATTAAATACATTTAACTAAATCTTATTCGAATTCACATAGATATATTGAATTGACTTATCCCCAATTTGGTGATCATTATTTTCAAAATTCAATGTTTTTTGAATATTGATTTTTAGGAGAATGCATGGTTAAACAGTAAGAAAATATTTTGATTTACGTACAAAATATTTTTGTCCTAGTTTATCTCCTTTTAAAACAAAACTCTTTAATTATCATGCCAATTTTCAACTACACATGAACACAATAAAAAATCTTGCACGTAAATTTAAAACTTGTTCTTACTTTTTAACTAATCATTCTTCAAAATAACACTGTTCAAACATCATTTTTTTTTTCAAAATAATGTCCATCAAACATGGACTTATGAATATATGATTGAAAATGAGTATGCAGAATATATGATTTTCAAATAATAGTTGTCAAGAAGAGGCTTAGGTGAATATGATTGATTTGAATTCGAGTGATGTAAATTTAATATAATAATTAAGAAGACACTAACATAACACTGCAATGGGTAAATAATCTCGATCAGCGAATTAAGGTGATTAATATATGAAATTATAAGTCCTAACATCAATATTCATATTTCAAATCTCTATTTTCATTAATTGTGTAACTTAGGTAAAATTAATATAATTAGAACAATTTAGATAACTAATCACAAATTATTCTTTATTTTTAAATCATGTAGGAGTTAAAAATAGTAAACTAGGTATTAAATAATAGTTCTCGTGGAAAACAATCATTCGAACTTATTGATCAATTATATTACTTGTTATGATATTGTACAATTGTAATGAAGAAAATGAAAATATAATTTACAACATAATTGCCTTTTTATGACAATTTTTACAGCGTTTGATCGTCATAAAAAGAGTGTTATGTATGATGATAGATCGATTATAACTAAATAACTAATGTCACTCTCTTACCATGATTTTAAAGTTTTTTGTGGTAAACACTAAACAACAAAATTATTGTCCCTCCTCCCTCGACCCTCGTGTTGTTCAAGCCAAACGTGATGAAATTGCAAAATAAAGTTTTATCCTGTGCATAAGACGATTGTACATGGGCAGAAGAAACATCACACAGCATCAAATTATACCTTGTAATACTTTGTGGACCGCTTGGACCACTGGACTATTTGAGTCCCCATCAGCATTGATTTTAGAAGTAGACCCCACCCAATACCTGTTTGCGTAACACGTGAAGCACTAAACCCATGTTTGATCTCCGTTAAGTTAAAATTTATTTTTCTCTATTCTTATTAATCACACGTTTTTTAATAAAATAATATTATACGTAAATCTAAAAAAAATTCTTCTTTTTTAACTGCATATTCTTCAAAAAATTATCATTCTTCTCATTAAAATATGAAATAATAGAGCACAAACATGGCTAATTTATATGATAGCTACATAACATTGAATGATGAATTCACGTAAAAGTAATACTCACTCGGTTCCATTTATATAGAGTAATGCTATTCATCCTTACTGAAATTAAGCTCCAATCTATGTGGCAATTACATGACTTAAAATGAGTCATGTGACTTTGTATTTAAATGAATATATCATTTAATACAATAAAGAGTGTTATGTATGATGATAGATCAATTATAACTAAATAACTAATGTCACTCTCTTACCATGATTTAAAGTTTTTTGTGGTAAACACTAAACAACAAAATTATTGTCCCTCCTCCCTTGTGTTGTTCAAGCCAAACGTGATGAAATTGCAAAATAAAGTTTTATCCTGTGCATAAGACGATTGTACATGGGCAGAGGAAACATCATACAGCATCAAATTATACCTTTGTAATACTTTGTGGACAAATGGACCAATGGACTATTTGAGTCCCCATCAGCATTGATTTTAGAGGTAGACCCCACCCAATACCTGTTTGCGTAATACGTGAAGCACTAAACCCATGTTTGATCTCCATTAAGTTAAAATTTATTTTTCTCTATTCTTAGGAATCACACGTTTTTTAATAAAATAATATTATACGTAAATCTAACTTTTTTTTTCTTTTTTAACTATATATTCTTCAAAAAATTATCATTCTTCTCATTAAAATGTGAAATAATGGAGCACAAACATGGCTAATTTATATGATAGCTACATAACATTGAATGATGAATTCCCGTAAAAGTAATACTCACTCGGTTCCATTTATATAGAGTAATGCTATTCATTCTCGCTGAGACTGAGCCACAATCTATGTGGCAATTATATGAACCCACTAGATTGAGCTGCAGTCTATGTGGCAATCACATATCATTAAATGATATATTTATTTAAATACAAAGTCACATGACTCATTTAATTGAGTCTATCATTTAATGTCATGTAATTGTCATATAAACTGGTGCTCAACAACAGTGGGAATGAATAACATTATTTATTTATATAAGTTGGTTTTATTTTTCACACGGATTAAGAAATCTCATTTAATATTATTGAAAAAAAAATATTTTTTGCCAAAAACTTTCTTTCTTTACCTTTATTTAATTATCAACAACTAATAGTGAATTATCATTGAAAGTAGTAAATAAATGAAATGGTTTAATTTTCAATTTTCGCATTGGTTGTAACTAAGCAAATTAAACAATGGTATATTAATAAACAAACAAAACATTTTCAATAAAGAAACATGATTATATAATTGTGATAAGAAAATAAGGAAATTCAGCATATATAAATGGGATGGAAAGGGTATTACTTATCACAATTAGTGTTTAACACCAATTTAAGTGACAACATTGGTGGGATTATATTATACGTTCAATTAAATATAAGGAATTTTGACTCCTTTAGTAGAATCTATAAAACGTTGACTTAAACTGATGTTTAATGTCACTAGTACTATGATATGCAATGTCATGTGATTAATTTAATTGAACTTATTAAGCCCCATTTTTTTAATAATGTATTTTTTTCAAGATTAACTTTCAATCACATATTTTCCATAAAATAATTATACACATATTTCAAAAACTTTTCCTTACCTTTTAACCACATATTTTTAAAAAAAATCACTATTTCATAATATATTTTACCCAAAAAATAAGATCAAATAGGGGCCAAATATGACCTTCCAAACCGGTGCTACACAGCGTTATTCTTAATTTTAAAAATATATAGATCAAAAACAAAAATTGTCCCTTAATCTTGTATCTCAAAAAATAAAAATATTACAAAGCTATCGAGGAACTAAACAATACTCGAAAGTCGTCAAGGTCATAATAATACGAAAAATGCTATTGGTATACCGTAAGTGTACCCATAGCACAACCCTGTTAATACGAAGTCGAATTTTAACTTATATTTGTAACCTATTTATAAACACTCAATATCATTTTTTATCCATGCACTTCAAAAAAACTACAAATGAATACAAACAAATGCTGAACAACTTTGAACATCGAAATCATATCCAACATTGTCTAAAGTAATAAATGTGCTTTTAATGACTTTATATCTTCAATGATTTTCATATTATTTATTGGACTAGAAAAAAACAAGGAAATACTAGCAAATGTTGCATTGGAACTGATTCACCATTCACCAACCACATCCACCAAATTTTGAAAATTGAATTTACGGTAAACACAGCATCTAGGCTAAATTTCGGTGTCTATCCTCCAATTATAGAAAAAATATCATTCAAGTTATATAAATTTTATTTATCTATCCTATTGAGTAGATAAGTTTAAGAGTTTGTTTGGGAAGGATTAAAATTCAATTAAAATTGAAAATATAGCAATTATTGGGTCTCACTCGTCTAATAAAAGTCAACTCCAACAGCTATATTTTCAATTTTAATCTGATTTTAATCCCTCCCAAACAGTAAATAAATAATTTCCTAATCAAACCCCTATTTGGATTCTATTTTTCAAAAAAATGCTTTTTTTTTTTTTTTCAATACTCGTTTTCAATAATACATTCTCCCATAAATATGTGCTAAATAACTAAGTTTTACATTTTACTGCTCAAAGTTCAAAACGAATATGTTTTCACTTATTTGGATAATAACGTAGAATTACTTAAATATACTTAAGAGAGACTATTTTTTTTATAATAAAAGAAGTAACTCGTAACCATATGTATGTACAATCTAAAAACCTAAGTTGAAAAGTTGTAATTCAAAATTCAATTACACCACCCGTTAACCTCTCAAAATTATAAACATTAAATATTAGTTGGAAATTAGTGAATGAAGTGTCGACCGCGGAAGAAGAAGAGCAAACAAACATATTGAGCCCTATTTGAAAAAAAAAAATTATAATTTTGAATAGTATTTTTAGGAGAATATGTGGTTAAAAAATATGAAAAAATCTTAGGTTTATGTACAAAATATTTTATCGTGTAATGTGTGGAAAAAAAAAAGAATTTAAAAATAATGGTTGTCAAACGGGGGCCGAAACCTTTTCAAATATTTAGCCTCAATTTGGTCTCAATTCTTTTAAATTTATTTTTAACCATGCATTTATAGACTCACAATTTTTATCTACTTTTCAACCATAAATTTCATTAACTTTTATCAAAATCTATTAAAAATTTGATACAAGGGCCTGTCTGTCCCAAATTTTCTTCAGATTTTAATTGATTTTTTGGCCCTTTTTTGACAGCATGTGAATCCAAATGTGAGAGAAATAGTAAAAAATGCCGACTGCATGCCTCAGCAACGGTCAACTTTTCAATTAAAATTCACCAAAAAAATTTATTTTTAACCACGCATTTATAGACTCACAATTTTTATCTACTTTTCAACCATAAATTTCATTAACTTTTATCAAAATCTATTAAAAATGTGATACAAGGTCCTGTCTGTCCCAAATTTTCTTCAGATTTTAATTGATTTTTTGGCCGTTTTTTGACAGCATGTGGGTCCAAATGTGAGAGAAATAGTCAAAAATGCCGACTGCATGCCTCAGCAACGGTCAACTTTTCAATTAAAATTCACCAAAAAATTGATCCCAGACATGGCCATATTTATAGTCTCTTTCTTTTGCAAGTTTGTGACAACTAAAACATGAATAGGGTTTGGTGTAGCTTAAAAGTTTACTTGTGTTTAAGTTCAGCCAAACATGCTTGTAATAAAAAAATGATATTAAAATTTTGTATTCATAACTAGAGCAAAATGGAATTTTTCTCATAATTCAAGGGTGCTCAATGAAAATTACATCACAACGTGCAGAGGCGCGTGACTACGGAGCGTGGGTATAAAATCTCTCAGTCCCCGCAAATGAGAAGAGAGAAACTGACTCCGGAACTGCAGAACAAAGCACCACCCTTAACAAATGCTACAGAAATAAGCCACTGCACACCCACACTCTCTCTCTTCAGCTTCAGCATCTTCCAAGACTAGGGTTTCCTTCTCTCTTTTCTATTCTTGGAAATTGTGTGGGAGCTCTTCCAACAGTAAAAAGACAGCTTCCATTTTTGCTGCCAAAAAAAAGTGAAAAAAAAAGTTTCATTTTTTATAGAAATTTTGGTAATTTGAGACTATTCTTGTTTGTATACATTGCCCAATTTTCTTGTGTTCCTTTTCTGCTTACTCAAAAAACTACCAAGTTTAGAGTGATTGTCTGTGTTGATCTGCTTGTAACTCCAGGGCGCATGGCTTTCTTCTTGTGGGCTGGGTTTTTACTTGAACTTTGCTAAAATAAAATCTCAGTTTGTGTGGAATTTATGAGTTTGATTTACATTGTGGGTTGATTTTAAGCTTCAAACTTTGAGTTTTGGATGCCATTATTATTTTACTTTATTTAAACATGTATTTGTGAGCGCGTGTTTACAGAACTTGCCTTTTTAAGTATTCTTTTTGGATTTATTCTTGTTCTTAAGATCTAATTTTTTTCAGATGAAACCTTTGTCTGGTAGTTTTCCTGTATTATTTGAACGTGGCTATTATGGTTCAGTGAGACGCTTTGGCATCTGCTCACGCATTTCTCCGTATATTCAGTTTATTGGAAAAAGATTAACGAATTCTTTTTTAAGGTGCTGAATATTTTAATTGTACCAGTTGGTTTGATTTAACGTCATAACGGACAGTAGAATATAAAAAATGAAAGCCCTGTTATGAAATTATTTTAATTTATATGCTTCACATTGAATATCTGTGGTGACTGGTGAGTATTCTTTTAAATGGAGCTCTTACAATTTCTGCTCAAAATGTGGGATATAATTATCATTTATTTATATATTGTGCTGTCTGAATGATGTCATTGCTATGTAGTGTAAGGAAGGAGTAAAAATGAAGCAAAAGAAAAGCAAAGCAAAGCAAAGCTCAATTTGCATAGTGATATTTATTTTTTCTTGATAGCTACTTTCTTATTTTTCTATTTCTTTTTTTGGTATATTCCTTGTTGTTGTACGTTTGTTTGGTTGGTGGAGTGGAGGTTGTTTCTATTGAGTTTCTTTGAAGGGATTGTATTACTTGTATGTATCTTTGGTTTGGTTTTTCCAACTGAATATCGCTTAAAGCTTAATTTCCTTGATGAACTTTTTATTTGTCTCATCTGATTTATGTATATATTTGTAGCAAAAGTTCTTTCTTAGCCAAGAATTCCTCTGAACTATTGCAGGTGCTTGTCAGTGAGGTGGGCCTTTAGAGGGTAGAAGATTTAGTTTTCCATATTCTTCATTCACTACTGAGCAGATAAAGTATGCAAACACCAAAAGCAAGGTAATTATCACTCATGAATTTGTTTTCTGTTTGTAGTAATGTACCCGGGTTCTATCTTTGAAATTCTATCAGACAGGATAAAAAAGATCTTGCTACAAAGAATAAAGCTAAATACGTCTGCTGTACAATCATATTCGCTGAAACACAGAGCATATATGCTTGTTGGTGACACTGTCGTAGTTGCTGAAAATGCTTTCTGTCGACAAATATGCATTACTATGAAAAAACATGGTGACGTGTTGAACTACTGATGTTTAATGTTTTTCTGTTGGAAATTGTATTGATTTCATTGTATGATTGATGCCTGAATGAAATTGTATTGGTTCCATCTTTTCGGAAACACAAATATACTGTTCTTCAATTTTTTATTTAGTCCAACTGATTTGTGCCTAGTTTTTATGTGTCATTATAGGTAATGGCATATCTTTAGTAATGGTTCAGTGGCCTATATTTAGTTTCCTATGTTGTGTCTTGTTTATCTTATCGTTGTTATATCCATTTTGGATGTAGACCTGCATCACTGGATGTTCCTCACAAGGTGTCTCCTGCCACACCTCGGACAGCCCGGAAGCTCAAAGCTCCAGGATCTGAATCTGATCCTGGTCCGTCTCCAAATCCAGCAAGCAAAACTCCGAAAGATAGAGGTTCCAAGGTTGTTGATCGTCGATCACCACGGACTCCAGCAACTGAGGTAAATTTATGTAGAAACATTTGGCAATTTATCATCTTGAAAATCCCTACAAATATTTTTTTCAGATGGTAAAACCATGTGCTGACTAGTGAGTGTAACTTCTGAGGTTAATTATTAGTTAGGAAGAAAGAAAACGTTCTTTCATCAAATTGAAGCATTGAAATATCTAGATGCCTAATTTTGCTGTATACCTCTTTTTTAATATCTTCTAGAAGTTCTCGTGAAAGCTTGTACCACAAGACAATATATACACTTTAATAGGGCATACAGCACAAATTTTTTTCTTTTGTAATATGTGCACTTTTTGCATTTTACTTTGTTTTCCCACCTAGGTTTGAGGGATTTGGAGTGTGATACTCTTTTATTTATTGGGGTAACAACAAATTCTTGGATCAACCTTCATCCATCGCAAATCCATAAAATCTCATATATGTTCCATTATTTATCTGAAAGTTACATTGAGCTGCTTGTTGTCAATCTTTGATATCCCTTCTTTCCCTGTAAATTTTCAGAAGAAGCGACCAAACCGAGTCTCTGAATTGGAGACCCAGCTTGCTCAGCTCCAAGAGGAACTGAGCAATTCAAAGGATCAGCTGAACTCGTCCGAATCTTGGAAGAGGAGGGCTCAGCAGGAGACCGAGGAAGCTAAGAAGCAACTTGCTGCCATGTCATCAAAACTCGAGGAGACTGAGAAGCAACTGGTCGAGATTTCTGATTCTGAAGATTCTCGTATCCAAGAATTGCGCAAGATCTCTCAGGATCGAGACAGAGCATGGCAGTCTGAACTGGAGGCTGTCCAGAAGCAGCACTCGATGGACTCTGCCGCTTTGGCTTCTGCAATGCATGAGATACAGAGGCTCAGGATTCAACTGGACCGAATGGCTGAAGCGGAAGCTGCCCAGGCCAGACGTGCAGAGTCAGCTCACACTGAAGTTCAAAACTTGAGAATGGAACTCGAGAAAACCATTGATTTTGTTGAAGAATTGAAGAGCCAGCTAAGTAATAATAAAGAATCTGAAGCTCAGGCGCTTGAAGAACTTGCTAGAGCCCAAATGCAACTGGAAGTGGTGAAGACTACTGAGGAAACAGTACGCTCTGAACATGTCAATACTGTGGAATCATATAAATCTTTGGTATTGGAGTTGGAGCAATCAAAGAATAGATTAAATTCTCTGGAGGAACTTGTTGGCAAACTCCGGGCTGATCTAGACAACAACAAGAAGATAACAGATCCTCCGAGCAATGATGATAACATCTCTTCTGTGGACAAAGATCATAATGAATCAGATCTGCTGAAAACTGAACTTCTCAATTTGAAACTGGAAGGAAGTCAACTAAAAGCTGCACTAGAGGCTGCTGAAAGAAGATATCAGGAAGAATATATTCAGAGCACATTGCAGATTAGAAATGCTTATGAACTTGTGGAGCAAGCAAAAATGGACTCAAGTGAAAGAGAAGCTGAACTAGAGACAAAGCTAAAAGTATCTAGAGCTGACGTTGAGGAATTGAAGGCAAAGCTGATTGAAAAAGAAAATGCTTTGCAAAGTATTTTGTTTGCGAAAAAAGGGTCAAATCTTAAGGTTGAAGAAGACCAGCCAACGAAAAAAGAGACTGAACTTGAAATTGAGCTGAAGAAATCAGAGTTGGTTTTAGCAGACATGAAGGCAAGTTTATCTTGTAAAGAGAGACAGTTGCAGTGCATAAGAGAGGAAAATGAGATGCTGAAGTCTGAAATCATGAAAACTGAAGTAGAAAGAAGCAAAGCAAATGACGAGGCTCTTGTTGTGGCAGAAGAAGCACGTGCTGCAGAGCGAGAGGCCTTAATGAAGCTTGGATATTTAACAGAGGAAGCAGATAAAAATAGTCGAAAAGCAGCACGGGTCGCTGAGCAGCTCGATGCAGCACAGGTTTCAAATTCTGAGATGGAAGCTGAACTGAGGAGATTAAAGGTGCAGGCAGACCAGTGGAGGAAGGCTGCTGAGGCAGCCACTGCAATGCTCTCAACTGGTAATCATTAATCACATTTAAAAGCTAATCCAGTAGAGATGGGGAACGTCTATTTATCTAAATTGTCTATTCAACAAATCATCTCTCATGCAGGCTGGATTTATATATTTTATTAGAGGTCTGACATGTACACAATTATATATATAAGTTGCAGCGAGACTTGAACTTAAGACCTCTATCTCTTAATACCATGTTAAATTATATCAGCTAAAAGTTTAAGCCCTAGAGAAGGGACACATTTATTTGTTTAAATTTGTCTCCAACAGGTAACAATGGCAAATTTGTCGAGAGGACGGGTTCTTTGGGTTACCACACCATTGGTGGAAAGTTGGATTCGCCCTATTCTGAAGATATGGAAGACGACTCACCCAAGAAGAAAAATGGCAACATGCTGAAGAAGTTTGGTGTTTTGCTGAAAAAGGGCCAGAAATAGATTAAACATTCGACAGGTTCCATTCCCTTTTTCATTGAGTTCTTCTATTCATTTGTCTTTGTCATTATTTGCTGATTACATATTTCTTTTCAGGCAGGTTGGTCGTGCGTACCGACCGAGACACTCAGAGAGCTCCTGTTGAAATGTACAGTTATGTGGAACTATGAACTATCTTTGTTTAACCTACCACTATGGTGGTTTTTGGTGAAATTTGC